CTCCCCTGCCCCCCGCCTGGTGTGGCCCCTCCTCCTGGAGACTGTGAGCACAAACTGTCATCGCAATGGCCACTGCCCCGTCCTGCCTCCCCACACCTGAACAACAGCAAACCTCCATGTCAAACACCTGGTGGGCTGCAGCCTCCCACGTCCCTGTACAATCTGACTCCCGGGAAGGGCAGCTGCCCAGCTCCCGGCTGCTGGGTGGGTGTTGGTGGGGGGGGGCTCCAGGCCAGGCGGTCAGGTCTGCCCACGCCGGGCTCCCTGCAGAGCGCTCCCTGCGATTCCAGGCCTTCACCTGCCTGCTCTGCCCCTGCAGGTCTCTGGCCCCACTGCCCCAGCCACCTGCCTGCACGAAGCGTCCCGTCAGACCCTGAGGGTCACGTGCCGTGGCCTGCAAGGCGTGTGGTCCCATGGAACACCCACAGGGCCAGCTTCATCCCCGCCCAAGTCCTAGGCCTGGTGACAAGACCCTGCCCTGGACCCCTATGATGTTAGCAGCACCTCAAGGCCAGAGCCTCCTCCGGGAGCCTTCCTGGGTCCTGGCAGCAGCCCCTGCTCTGCGGAGTGTACTCAGCAGCCCGTCCCCCAGCACCTGACAGAGGAGATGGCTGCCTCTGGGCGTGTCGTGTCTGTGCTGAGCCTGTGCGTCCTGGGGGGCTCACCTGGTCCCGGCGCCTACAGTGCAGTTAGCAAGAGGCCACGGCGTGTCAGCCACAGTGACGACCAGGTGTCTGCCGCGCGGTGGGTCCGCAGCACCCCCAGGATGGCCTGGAAGGCAGGGGGGCGCCTCCCGGGGCCTGTAATGTGGGGTCCGGGATCGACATGCAGTGGGGACACAGGAGGCCTTGGCCAGAGCACAGGCCCCCAGCGTGGACCACGCGGGACGCAGGCGGTATCAGAATAGTATTTATTGATATGCTCAGTGCGACCTTGTTAATGCGTCACGTGGTTGCCGTGTGGGCCCGGGGCTGGGGCCGGGGCCCGGGTGGGGACGTGGTTATTGCGTTGGACTCCTTTCCTTGCTCACGCCCCGGCGCCCATGCCTGGCCTCACCTGGGCCCGCTCACACACACTTCCTTACACGCTGGTGCCCACTCACGCATGCTTTGCACGCTCACCCACGTGTCTACTTGCACACAGGCGCCCTCCCCCTCTGGCCACACACACGCACACGCCCACACACACATCCTTTGTTTTAAATGCACCCTAAGTCTCTTGACAAGAGAGATACTTGTGGGTTACAGTAACCATAGTGAAGTACAGGTAGTCGGGGTACAAGGAGAAAGTGCATGTTGACCTTTGACCCGAGGGCTTCCGGCCCTGCCCGGGCAAGCCAGGAGCACTGTGGCTCAGCGGCTGTGCGCCCCAGGCCTGTGGTGCCCCTGCCCCCAGCTTCCTTCTACACCTTGGACCCACATGTCCCCCCACAGATCACCCCTCAGGGCCAGCATCCTGGGCCCAAGACAAACTACGAAAATAAACTCTTCTCAGGGCGAGCGCCTGGTGCAGGGAGGGGGCTCCTGGCCAGCCCCTGGCCCAGCCAGCACCCCAACAATGCCACAGAGGGGGAGGACAGGTGCTGAGCCCGAGGCATGCGGGCGGGAGGCTGGGGTGGGCAGTGCTGGGGCGGCGGTGTACCCTGGTCATGCGGAGGGGTCCCCCTGGGGGGCCCTGGTGGCCATGCGCCCTCAGAACTCCACGGTACTCACTACGGTCCTTGGCTCATCGAAGGTGGCGATGAGGATCTGCTGGGGTGGGGGGATGGCGATGAGGCTCCCCATGTCTGGGGGTGCCCGGGGCCCCCCGTCCTCCTCCTCCCGGGCCTCATACAGCGTGCTGATGTGCAGCAGCGGGTGGGTG